AAGGTAACACTTTTCCTTTTGTGGGTCTCTAGAAACCAAAGGCCTGCATTTACTCCATGACTGAATCCACAGAATAGAGCAAACGCCTCTTAGCTTATATTCTAGTATGAAATAAAGCCTATAAGGGTGGGCAGCTGCATCTTTTCAGCCAGAACTCTGGGTTTCCCTGCTCAGACCTGAGACAGGCCCAGCACTTTGGATCAACCCAAGAGGTGGCTGGAGGCAGCACTGGCCTTCCCCCCTGCGACAGGGGGCCGCAGTAGGAGCTCGGGTGCCCTCTAGTGGTATATCTGAAACCTCAGTGTAAGGCTCAGAAAGGCTGAAGAGCCCAGGTGCGGTGGGTCGTAGAGAGTCTTGAATCCCAAGCCCAGAGCCCATCAAAGCATCCACAAGAAATCGGTGTCTTGAGCTCAGAGGCATGTCTCAGTCCATGCTCCCACCTTGTGGGCTTTCAGGAGAGAATCAGAATGTCCCTGTTTGTCCTTTGTGTTTCCATTCATATTAATCACAAATGAAAAGGATGGAAAAATGAAATCAGCTAAGCAAGTCTTGCAGTTCCAACCACACACACACACACACACACACACACACACACACACACACACACACACACACACACACACACACGTCTGTTGGCAGGATCATTCATCACAGAGCTTCTCCAGGGGGATGTTAAGGCAGCAGGGAAAATACAGCAGCCTAGGAAGTCAAACCCATGAACACCACCAAGAGACAAAACCCTGCCCTTCCCTGCAAATGAAGCCTCAGAACCTGAACCTACACAGGAAGAGAGATCGGCCGCCCTGATGGCCCAAGGTTTGAAGGCCAGGCCATAGTGCCAGGGGCGATGGAGAGCCTCTGTGACAGAGAATGTCTTGCATGTCACTGGGGAAGAAGAGTTCAGTGCCCACCCTGAAACCACAGATGGTATCAAACCCTATGTGTCCTGTGGTTTCCCTAAACACACATATACCTATGATAACATTTAATTTACAAATGAAATATACGAAGACAAAGCCGTGGCAAATAACTACAAAGACCAATTATAACAGTAGGCTACAACAAACTTCCCAGAGTCACTGCTCTTGTATTTGGGGGAAGCTTTATAAAACGAGCATTTTTTCTTTAAAACAAAACAACACTTTTATCAGGCACTGCTGGGTCACATCTGTAATCCTAGCTACTCAGGAGGCTGAGATCCAAGGATCATAGTTTGAAGCCAGGTGGGGCAGAAAAGTCTGTGAGACTCATATCCAATTAACTACCAGAAAGGCAGATATTGAGCTGTGCTTGCTTCAAGTCATACAGAGGCAGCCTTGGGGGGGGGGGGGAAGCCCAGGGACAGTGTCCAGGTCCTGAATTCAAGCACTAGGACCAGCACTAAATAAATAAAACATTCATTCATTCACTCCCATTTTAGGATTTCTGGAAGCTAGAGTAATTCTCCTCCCTACCTGCTACTTTACCTGACTAAAAGGCCCCTGTCAATTAAGGTCAAAGATCTGGAGTTGTGGAGATTATCTTGGTAAGCCCAGGGATCCATTAGCCCTCTAGAGAACCTTTTCAAGCTCTGATCAGAGAGAGAGATTTGACTGCTGTTGGTTACAATGACAGAGGAAAGGTACTACACAGGATGGAAATGGCCCCTAGAAGATGGAAGTGGAAAGGAAACAAATCCCCCACCCCTCCCCAGCCTCCAGAACAGACCACCACCCTGCGGCTGCCTTACCACATAGACCATTATCTACAAAACCACAAGATCCTATCCATGCAGGTGTGAGGCTGGGAGTCAGGGACGCTTGCTGGAGACACAGTGAAGGCTAATACCGTCCTCCTCTAGGCTTGCAGGCATGAGGCCCTGGGTTCAATTCCTCAGCATCACATAAGCAGAAGAAGTCGGAAGTGGTGCTGTGACTCAAGTGGTAGAGCACTAGCCTTGAGCTGATGAGCTGAGGGACAGCGCCCAGGCCCAGAGTTTAAGCCCCACAAATGACAAAAAATATAAATAAATAAGTAAGTAAATAAATAATCTACTTCACTCCATTTAATGGGGTTGATTATTGAAACTCCTGGCCTCCTGGAATGTCTTTTAGGTTCCTCAAGTTACTGGCTTTGGGAGATGGTTCTGTGTCCCTCATGGTTAACCTGGACATGTTCTAGAGACAGATACACGAATATGTTCCACGGACTGAACACACAACACATCCTCTCTACTGTGGAGTATCAGTTCCTTAAGAAACACACCACTGCCAGGCACCTGTGACTCACACCCGTCATCCTGACTACACAGGAAGCTGAGATCTGAGGATCGTGGTTCAAATCCAGCCCAGGCAGGAAAGTCCATGAGACTCTTATATTCAGTGAAAACACCAAAAAGCCAGAAGTGGAACTATGGCTCAAGTGGAACAGCACTAGCACAAAATGCTCAGGAACAGTGTCCAGACCCTGCCAGGACTGGCATGAAGAAAGAAAGAAGAGGAAGGGAAGGGAAGAGAAGGGGAGGGGAGGGGAGGGGAGGGGAGGAGAGAGGGGAGGAGAGGAGAGGAAGGGAAGGGAAGGGAAGGAAAGGAAAGGAAGAAAGAGAGAAGAGAAAAGAAAGAAAAGGAGGGAGCGAGAGGGAGGGAGGGAGGGAGATAGGGAAGGAAGGAAGAAAAGAAGGAAGGAGGAAAGAAAGGAAAGAAAGAAAAGAAAGAAAGCCATTGTTGCCCACCCTTGGGAATTTATCCTCAGGAATGAAGCCCAAAGAAGTGAAACTAAATAAACTAAAATAAACAAGAAAATCTTCATGATAGTCTTACCTATAACAGTAAATGCAACAAAAACAAACAGTCAACATTCCAATCCAAGGAAACGCTTATATGATTCCACACCGTGATGGACACATTAAAAAAGTTACAATCCCTCGTATCATAAAACCACAAAGAAATATTATTATGCTGAATGAAGACAGCATAGGCACCAAGATAGACCCAGTCCGTGCCCTGGCCGTGTGGACCAAGCTGATGATAAATATGTAAGGTGATCTTTTCAGGTGGCAGGTGAGGTGCTAATAAAATTGCTTTGTTGGGGCATGGAAAAGATTGTCTTTAACCTTCTTACATTACCTTTCCTCTTAGTCACTGAGAGGGAGCGGGAAGGAATGCTAATCCCCACCCCAGAGTAGAGCACAGAGCAGCAGAACTAGGAGGAAGCTCAGTCGGCAGGGATTGTTTAGACACACAACAAACAACAGCTCAGCCGGCCCGGAGGCCAGCCTCTTCTCCAGCAGGGGACAGGAAGCCAGCTGTCCCCACGGGTCACCCCCCAGGTAGGCTCAGCTTTGAGAGGCCACATTCCACCCTGAATGGATACCCTCTGTGTATCTGGGAAACTTTCACCCAATTCATCATGGCCCCAGAGACAGCGACACCTGTCTCTACCCATCTCTCCAGCTGCCAAGATCACCGGGAACGCGTTCCTTTGTAATGCTATTGTGTGTGTGGCAGGTGCTACACATGTTGGCCTCAACTTCCCTCTCTGCAGCTTCTGAAGACTGCAGCTGTGAGGGCAGTGCTAGGCCAAGGAAGAGGAAGCCTGAATTAAGCAAAGCCCTGAGCTCTGGCAATCTGAAGACACTTCCGTGATGGTGCAAATGCCAGGGGCATTTATGACCAAGCAACTACTAGGTGAACGACATAAAACGATGCATTAGTAATAAGCGCAAACTGTCCAGAGAATATGGGAGGAGTTTCTCCCAAGTCCAGCCAATGAAATGGCCTGCTCTGCCCTCCCATCCCCTGCATGCCTCCCCCCCCAGCCACTCTCCACCCTTCATACACACTTCATTGATATCCACAACTGCTGCCCACACCCTGTGGCATCTGTCTTAAAAGGTAGAACTACAGTACCAGTACCAGTGCCATCCAAATATGTTTTACTCGATACACTGAGCGCCAGAGCTATTTCTAGAGCTCTAACTTTGAAGAAGAAAAAAAGTTTTCAAGCTGGTGGCTCGTGCTTGTACTCCCAGCAATTCAGAAGCCTGAGACGTGGGGGCTGTGGTTCTAAACCAGCCCAAGCAGACAGACCTTGGAGACTCTTACTTTTAATGAAACACCAAAAATACAAAGCTGGGGGTGGAGCCGTGGCTCACGTGGTAAAGCACCAGCCAGCCCTGAAAATGCTAAGGGAGAGCACCCAGGCCCTGAGTTCGAGTGCCAGCACACACACACACACACACACACACACACACACACTTCTTTTTCATATCTGACTGGTCACTTTGTATCTGGGCCCTAACAAGAGATTGCCAAGGTTTCTTTGAATTCTCAAGTACAAAGCTGTGCAGCTTCCAGGCAGTGGGTTGAACGGGAGACGAGGGCCTTGAGCTGGGTGTAGCCAGGGGCTCCATCTCAGGGACTGAGTCCATTGCCTTGCTATTTCTCATAACCAGCGTTTGTGGAGGGATGGGCAGGACTAGGGCATGCTACCACGGCCAGCCTCCACTGTAATATGCGCAGTCGTCGCACGTATTACAGAGCGTGCATGCAGACTGTGTTGTAACGCACGCCGCATGCGGGCCCTCCAGAGAGCCACCGAGCCGCACAACCTTCGCGTCCCCCTCTGCGAAATGGGGCAGACACGGGCAAGCTCAGAGAAAGGTCCAGCTGAGCAGCAACGCTCCGACTTCGTTAGACTTTCAGTAGTACTTTCCACAATCCTTACAAGCGCCAGGCAAAACTCAACCGCGCCCCCTCGGTCTGCTCCACCACCGGGTGAGGGCGGACGGGAGCCACGCGGCAGCCCTACGCCACCTGCGCCCCGCAGGACAGCCGCGGGACCCACCCAGCCCCGATGCCAATCATCCGGCTGGCCCCGCCCCACGCAGGTGCGCCCTCGGCGCGCGCGCTCCCGTCGCCGGCGCCCCCGCCCGCCCGCCCCCCCCCAGCGCGCGCTCCGGCGCGGGCGATGACGCCACGCCGGTGGCGCCGCCGCGCGCGCGGCCCGGCGCCCGGAAAGAAGCGGAGCTTCGGGGGAGCGGGTTCGCCGTCGCCTCCGCCGCCTCCGCGCTCGGTGGCCCCGATGCCCGCTCGCGGCCCTCCGCTCTCGGGAGCCCCGGCCTGCCGTGCGGGTGAGGCCCACGCGGGGAGGGCGGGCGGCGGCGGCGGGACGGTTGGAGCGCGGGGCCCGCGGGGGGCGGCGGGGGGCGCGGCCGGGCCTGGACGAGCGCGGGGGCCCCGGAGCCCGGTCCTCCACCCGCGGCCTCTCTGGATGTGGTCGCCCGTCGTGAGAGCGGGAGCTGGGCCGGCAAAGGGGGTGCTGCCCCCCCCCCGCACCCACTTACTCCGGCCTGCCCGCGACGCGTCGGCCTCCGGCCCGGTCCCCGCCCTGCGCCGCCAGTGGGAAGTTGCACGTTCGGCTTCTCCCTGGGAAAACGGGGCTAACTGGGCCCCGACGCGCGGCCGGGCCCCGGCGCGGGGCCGCAGACACCCCGCCTCCTCCCCCGCTCGCAGCGAAACAAAATTAGCCGAGCTTTGCATGCCAGAAGGTAAACTAGAGGTTACCGAAGACCCCAGAATTACAGACTCGAGGCCCGGGCCAAATGCAGCATGAGTTCTTCATTGTGTTCTGCCTGTGTGTGATGAAAACACCTAATTGTCTGGTCCTGGATGGTATTCTCTGCCTTCGCTTACCTCCGGTGATCTCGTCATGGTCCCTTGTCCTGGCACATTGGAAGAATTATGCTAATCTGTATCAAAACTTTATATCAGAGTACTAATGTGTTGCATCTTGAATGCACAGCTTGTATTCTTGTAGTGCCCACAGGGAGTGCGAGTCAACCCTTGACTGTAGGAAGAAGGGAGAAAATTGAAAGTTGATTGAAGGATTTATATTCTCTGCATATTTATTTAAAATAGACTACACATGAATAACGAGGAGGTTCAGAGTATGGGAAGACCAAAGAATACATATAAAATGTATTCTTATATATATATATATATATATATCTGTGATCTTGAAACAAGTGTAATGCTGTGAGCAGGATATTTGAGGAAAAAAAGTGACATTATTAAAAGCCAAAGGCAAGTAACTTGCGTGGGAAAAAAGAGAACTTGTTCAGCTCACCAGAGCAGAGAGATATAATCTGAGCGAATGAATGATGAAGGGTTTCCCATGGCACACAGACTTTGGTGTGGATACACAGGTTTCTAGAAGATTCTTGTACTGGGCATATTTTGAAAGGAATACTTTTTAAAAGGGGTTCTTACAAAGAGTGGGCACCAATGGCTCACACTTAGCTACTCAGGAAGCTGAGAGCTGAGGATCAAGATTTGAAGCCAGCCCAGGCAGGAAAGTCCATGATATTCACCTCCAGTTAACCACCCCAAAGCCAGAAATGGAGTTGTGTCTCAACTGGTAGAATACTAGCCTCGAGCAAAAAATCTTAAGGGATAGTGTCCTTAAGTTCAAGCCCTAGCTCCCCACTTCACGTCTCAAGGAGTAGTGTTCACAGTGAAAGCACAAATGGCCAGCCACAGAATCTATCTTCAGTGACGATAGCTGCTTTGTTGTCCTAGAGATGTGTTTGAGGGTGAGCTGACAGGACTTCATGAACAGGGAGTTTTGCCCAAGAGAACTGGGAACCAAAGCTGAGCACTGGTCACCTTGTCATTGGAGAGGTCCTCCTACACTTGAGTTTGGCAGGCCATAGCATTTGTGTTAGGACTGCAACTCCCCAGTCTTGGATTAATTGAGTTTGAGATGCCAGGATTTAATAAGGCTCAAGATGCTGATCTAGAACTTGAGGGGAAGTCCTATGCAGGGCAAAGGTGATCATTGCAAAAAGGGACAGGATTTTTACAAATAAGCAATGGGAAAAGATTGATCGTGACTAATTACTATACAAATATTGAAGAAAATATAGATCATAAGTGCAACAACAGACATTCTCCTTTAAATGGAGAATCATTCCAGTTGTTCTGCTGTGTCTTTTACCATAGCTGAGTCATAGTGCCACTCAGCAGCCTGCACTTCTCAGCTCACTCTCAGACAGTTATCTTCTGAACCCCGTGGTTCCTATTTCCCTGCAATCCTTTGATATTGAAATGGATTCTTTTTTTGGAGAATCCTTCATGTCATCCTTTCTGACCCTTTCACCACAGTTTACCTGTTTATGATTTTGATTATGTTCAAGAGCTCTGGGATGGTTATTGGTTGTCAGCTTGATTGGACAGTGAAGCACCTAGGAGATTACACCAGGGGAGTGGGGGGAGACCTGTTCTGAGAATGGGTGACACCATCTCATAAGCTGGGAGCCCAGGATGGCATCAAAGATCACCCACCAAGGACAAGCATATTTCTCTTTCCCTTCCCTCCTCTTTCCCTTTTCTCCTTCCTTCCTTCTTTCTTTCAGTCTCCCATTCTTCCTCTCTTGCCTCCTACCCTCTACTTTGAAACCTCTAAACCACCTTTTATCCTGAACTATTCTTTCCTGGATGAAAAGTCTAACTCAAGTTCTGTAATGCCTGAATTTCATCAGAAAAGTCGTTTTCCTTTGCAGTTCCTTTGTATTATTTTCACTGTTGTCCTTAAGATTCAATGAAACATAGAGACACTGACCCATGACCAAAGGGGCCTTATGTCACTCAAGGATGTTTAAGGAGAACCTTGCCAGCTGAAATCCCAGCATCCATGCATCTCTCTGGTGATGGTCTGAGGTAGTTTAGGACTTTAAAAGTATGGCAGCTGCATTAGTGTTTGCCTGCCAAGGCTTTGGTGCCACGATTCTTTAGCTGCAAGGACAATTGAGTTTACATTGTAAGATCAGATTACCATATCATTGCCGCTGGCAAGAGTCATTTATACAGTTTGTTCTGAATAAAATTAATCACTTGAACAGTTTATGAACTGCCTTTTTTCTTTTTCTTTTACTTTTTTTTTTTTTTTTTTTGCCGGTCTTGGGGCCTGAACTCTGCCTGGGCATTGTCCCTCAGCTCTTCAGCTCAAGGCAAGCACTCTACCACTGTGCCACCTTCCCAGCCCCTGAACTGTCTTTTTTTTCTGCTTTTAGCCACAAGTTGTTTTTTTCTTTAAAAAAATAACAAAAACTTACACTAATTTCTTTTTATTCTTTTTTATTAGTCTCTATAAATCTCAAAACCAGTTCTAAGACAAGCACCAGGTAAAAGAAAATTTGCTAAGTATGCTGTGCTTGTTCTGTACTTCATCTTTGAAGTGTATTCTCCTTTCTTGCCCCCACCTGAAGTCTGTCTGTCTCTTTCAAGGACCCATTCCTTTAACAGGAGCCTTTGCCTTCACTGAGCTATCACTAGTCTTCTTGATCAGTTATTTCCTAGATATTAGTATTTATTTCTGTGCCGGTCTGCAGACTCCTTGAGACCTATGCAGTTCAGTTTGTTACTCCTTCTCTTCATAATACCGATCATTGAATCATTAAAGGTTACCCCCCCCCCCCCAGGACCAGTTGGTTTCTAATGGTGGCTTTAAAATGTTAGTAAAACTTGCTTTTCTCTGATGCCTAGTTCAACTACCACTTAATTATCATTGATTCTGTAATGTGCTCAGATTGGAATTACTGTATCATGAGTTCTTAAGATTGGTTTTTCTGGATATATACAGCTGGAAACTGGTGATACATCAGTGAAAGGTAGTTTGTTAAAGGCAGTTTTGTAGTTCTAATGATGAAATTAGTATGTGCCCTTTGAAAAATATAGGTAAGCCTAGGGAAGAAAAATAAAGATGACCAAGAATCTGATTGCTATTTAGAAGTAAGCATTGTTTCCATTTTCCCTATATGCACAATGTAATGTTTTTATATTTTATATATGGAGGACATCTTTCCCTGTCAATACATACAGATCTACTTCATCACCTTTGATAGTTACATTGTATCTGTTGTACAAATTTACCCTAATTTTACCCATCCTCACAATGGTCAGTAGGTTTGGTTGTTTACTTGCTTGCTTGTAGTGGGAGGGATTGAATCTAGAGCCTTGCGCATACTAGGCAGGCACACTACCCCTGAGCTACATCCCAGGCCTGTAACCGACATTAGTAGTGGTGTTCTGCTCTTGTGCACAGTGCTATGAAGAACATCCTGTACCTAGTTGAGTGAAGTCTATCCTGTTGCTTCCTAAGGGTGCCCTGTGTGAACGTGGTGGGTAGAACAGAGGGTACGCACATTTAAAATATTCATGTATGTCCCCCAGCTGCCCTTTGACGGTTGGTACTATTTAGACTTACAACAGCACTTGATGAAAGTTATTGCTCACTTGTATGGCAGACACTGGTCACTAGGGAAAAGAGAGACAGGCAGCCCCTGCCCTTGTAATGAGAAAGTCAACCCCAAGTACAATGCCACAGCCCACTGCAGGGGGGACTACCATAGAGGAGGGGTGCTTCTGTCCTGAGAGGTAAAGGGACCCCAGGAGGAATAGTGTACAGATGCCGAGGACGGGAGTGGAGGCATTTCCAGGTCTTCAGCTGATGTTTACTGTGCGTCTGTGGGACTTGCTCAGTGCCATCCTAAGAACCGTGATGTCAACCATGTGCACCTGTGGCAAGTGCAGCAGCTGAGTGTGGCTGTTGAGCACTTGAAATGAGGTGGGTTGCTTTAAGTAGCCACCCACGGCAAGTGGCTGCCGTGCAGGACTAGCTCCTGAGGAGCTGCTTTTACGTCCTGTGGAATTAGACTTCTTTCCCACAGTGACAGGGAATGCCTGGAGGCGGGAGCCCCTCTTGGTACTGGACCTTTTTGCATCCCAGAGCTCTGAACCTTGTTCACCTTGCCAGGCCTTTTCCTAGGGTCTGCAAAGGCAGGAGTACAGTGGTGAAACAAGCCGACCCGAGCCTGGTCCCTGTGGTGTGCACATTTCTTCAGAACACACACATGTGCATACACACTTGCACACATGCATATGTCCTCCTACTGGAGGACAGCGGGAGAATGTGGGATGCACACTAGAATCCTCACTCTTCCTCTGAAGCTGCATGATCTTCAACAAATCACTTAGCCTCTGTCGCATCTACTAGGTGGTAAGGAGGACTATAAATATTTGCAATAAATGTGGGCAATTGTAAGTACTTACTAAAGAGGGAGGAAAAAGGTAAATCCTGGGAAGGAGCTAGGTGGGAGGGAATATTGGCAATTATTGACGCCCCCCCCCCCCAAGAAGGTGACGTTTGAGTAAAGACCTGAGGAGGTGAAAAAGTGAGCCAGCCAGATGACTTCCAAGCAGAGGGAGCAGTGAAGTCAGAGCCCGGGTTGTGGCCAATAGATGTGGCCTCCAGTGCAGCTGGGATGCAGTGGGAAAAGGAGAGAGGTGGTAAAGTCAGAGCAGAGCAGGGGCCAGGCCTGCAGGACTATGAGTGGCCGAGTAAAGCTGGGGCATGTGATCGCACTGGCCATGGAAGGCTTCTGAGTGCCAGGAGTAATACAAGCAGACCCGTGTGGAGGAGCGCGTGCATAGCAACTGCAGGGCAAGAATTCTTCCTGGGGCTCTTGGGACAGTGAGTCTCTGAGACTTCAGAGAACACATAACATCTGAGAGCCTCCACACGGCCATAGAGAAAGGGAGTCAGCAGGTGGCGGCCCACATCTGTAATCCTAGCTACTCAGAAGGCTGAGACCTGGAGGTCCTTGGTTCAAAGACAGCTTGGGCAGCAAAGCCCATGAGACTGTTGAGTAACAAAATGCCAGACTAGAGGTGTGGTTCAAGTGATAGAGTGATTGTTATAAGCAAGAAAGCTAAGCAAGAACAGGAGGCCCCAAATTCAAGCCCTGGTGCCAGCACATGAACACAAGAATAGGGAGTAGGAAAATTTTAGGTATGCTAAAGTTAAAGGGAATGTGTCTGAGAATCAGATGTGGAGAGCAGCAGTAGGCTGTGATTGGCATGGTGAGGCAGAATCAGATTGGTTGGACATGGGGACAAGTGGGTTGAAGTAAAGAGGGTGGAGATGGCTGCATAAAAGAAATGGCTTCTGTGGTCTGCAGTATCTAGATGGAGATTATCTCAGGGGGACGAAAAATGCCTATCTTACATAGCTCAGAGGAGCTGGGTGGAGAAATTGCCTGCTAAGTCTGATGGGTTGATCATTTCAACAGGATGAGGCTAAGAACAGTGATTTAGTCAGAATAGAAGGACTCTAGACAGAACCCTGGGAAACACGGGAGGGGAGGAATTGACAGATAACCAGAATACTCAGGACCCTGGCATTGCAACAGCTGAGAAGTAGACCAGAACTGATCAAAGTCTTGAGAGGCCTGAAGAGGTGAAACGGTACTCCAACCAAGAAACATCCTGTGGTTCCAGCAACTTAGGAGGAGGCCAGGGGCTGGAAGAAGAGAATGGAAAGGGAACGGACAGCTGACTGGGGGCATAGCACCTTACTGTACTTTGAACATAAAAGCAGAGTCTTAGTGGACATCTTTCAAGTGGATGGATACTTTACATTCCCATTCAGTTATCATTCTGCCCACACCCCATTTCTCAGATTTTCTTTAACAGTACTGTACAGTGTTTGAGAAATGTGATGTCTCAGCACAGGGATCATGTATGCAATGGCATGTGGCTGGATTTCAGTATGCTCGACAGGTCTCATAGATACTATGATTGTGCCTTCTTTGATTTTCTTGTTCCTGAAACAGGCATGCCCTAACTCCATGAAGACCCCAGTACTGTTTCTGTCCCTGTGCGTAAGAAGCTCTGAGTCCCACAGTGTTGCCTGGCCCCTGGCCTTTCAGTATGGGGAGGTAAGTGATGGGTCTCATCGCCAGAGGTTGGTGCAGTCAGCTGAGGTTCAGGTGCAGACAAGGCCCGTGGCTTGGGCTAGAAGGGCACTGAGGTGCCCAAGAGGTCAGAACTGAGTGGGTGATATTTCACTGGGTTAGCACCATACCTGCCCTCAAGGGAGCTGCTTCAGTCCATAAAGCATTTTTAAAAGCAAAAAATATTGAAATTATCCAGGTGCTGGAGGCTCATGCCTGTAAATCCTAGCTGCTCAGGAGGCTGAGATCTGAGGATTGTGATTCAAAGCCAGCCCAGGCAGAAAACTCTGTGAGACTCTTATCTCCAATAAACCACCAGAAAACTGGAAGTGGCACTGTGGCTAGCCTTGAGCAGAAGAGTTCAGGTCAGTGCCCAGGCCTTGAGTTCAAGCCCAGGACCAACAAAAAAAAAAAAAGTAGTATAAAAATTAACTGTAGAATAACAAATTTCAACCTACAAGCAGTGTGCTTTTGTTTAAAAAGTCTAGTAATAGTTCTAGAATGAACTAAAGGGAAAGACAGAAGAAAGGCTTGCTGTTGATTGCAAAAATATCTCAAAGGAATCTTTCTAAAAGCACAGGACATAGCATCATTTATTGATGTTGTTATGGGGAAATTATTAAAAGTTACTGTTCTTTCCCATTCCTAGGTCATCTGGGAGAAATTTCGCTGGAATTCACTGTTAAAGTCACACCTCTCAGCTGGGTGACAGTGGCTTATGCCTGTAATCCATAGCTACCCTAAAGGCTGAAAGACTTTTTTTTTTTGGGGGGGGGGTGGTGTTGTCAGTCATGGGGCTTGAACTCAGGGCCTAGGCACTTTCCCAGAGCTCTTTCACTCAAGGGTAGTACTCTTCAACACTTGGGCCACAGCTTCAGTTCTGTCAGTTAACTGGAGATAAGAGTCTCATGGACTTTCCTGTCCAGACTGGCTTTGAATTCACAGTCCTTAAATCTTAACCTCCTGAGTAGCTAGGATTACAGGCGTGAGTCACCAGCATCTGGCCCAATGAGACTCTCATCTCCAATTAAGCACAAAATAAAATTAAATAAAAATGTTAAAAAAAAAAAAAAAAAGCTCAGGAACAGCCCCCAGACTCTGAGTTCAAGCCCCAGGACCAGCGCACACACATTCTCTCTCTCTCTCTCTCTCTCTCTCACACACACACACACACACACACACACACACACACACACACACTTCACTTTTCTGAAGCTGTTTACCTATGAATGGATGGTGTTATGTCCACTAGGCAGCTGCCATTTGCAGGCCTTGCTTACAACATGCATTTCTATATTCTCAATCTTCCTTTAGTTTTATTTTCTTTAAACTGGAATAAATTATGGGTTTATACATTTATCTGATTAAATTTCTAAGCTGTCTACAATTCTTTCTGGAACAAAACAAGGTAAGAATCTAAATTATACTCCCAAGGAAAGAGGAGACTATAGACATGTAACTGTCAGGGTCTCATTGTCATTTCTATCATTGTAGAATGTGTTCTGTAACAGAATTGCAGCATGGAATATGTTAGTATAGAGACAGCAGCTGGCAGGGACAGAGGGGCTCAAGCAGACGTTTTACCTCTAGTCGAGGGAGGTCTGTTTGGAGCAGATTGCTTTAAAACATGTTGTGTTTGTTTTAATTTCAGGATCAGCATCTCTTGTCTTTTCCCTGCTTCTTGGCATTTTAGCATCTCTCCATTGGGCTGTCCTCGAATTCTGAATACCAACTTACGCCAAATCATTGTCATTAGTGTTCTGGCTGCAGCTGTCTCACTTTTATACTTTTCTGTTGTCATAATCCGAAATAAGTATGGGCGTTTCTCCAGAGACAAGAAATTTCAAAGGTGAGAGATCAAGCGTATTTTCTACAAGGGTGTCTTATTTGTAGCTGATTTTGTTTGGGCTGTGGAATATAGAGTAGCTTATGCACAACAGAGCTTATTGCTCATAGGTCTGGAGGCTAGAGGGTCCAAGATCAAGCGACCTGCAGTATAGCAACTGTGAAGAAAGTTAAAGACTGCTTGCTGGTTCATGAATGGCACCTTCTTCCTTTGTCTTCACCTGGTGAAAAGGGGCTGAGGATTCTCTGAGATCTCCTTCCTCTTTCTCTGATCACCTCCCAGAAGTAACCAGTGATCAGGGGCCCAACAACTGAATGTGGGAGGGACACAAATGAATATTCAGACCATGCTGGCATTGTCATTTTATAGCAATCTGATTCAAAATGTCTGAGGTTAGATTGGAACATAAAGGAAAAGCAACTGTAGGAACTGGATTCTGTACCGTGAGGCATAAAACCTTCAGCTCTAAATGGTTAACTATTGAGCAGCCAACTCATTGTGTAAGAGGCCCTGGATCGATCACTGCAACATCGTAAGCTCCTCCTGTCTAACGTTGTAAGCAAGTTTTTGAGTTAGCATTTGTAGTTTGGAGAGTTTCCTCTCAAGAATCACGTAAATGTCTGTCATGTACTAATGACTGTGTACCTGACTCAGAGGGAATGCATTAGCGACGGCCCTATATGGTGAAAAGGTCGTTCATGTAGTGGGTGGGTGACCTCTTCACTGTTAGGTGAAGGGTGATATTTTGTTTGTTTTTCTAAACAAGGTACTTGGCCCGAGTCACAGATGTGGAGGCCACAGACACCAACAACCCCAATGTGAACTATGGAATCGTGGTCGACTGCGGCAGCAGCGGGTCACGGGTGTTTGTCTATTGCTGGCCAAGGCATAATGGCAATCCTCGTGATCTTCTGGATATCAGACAGATGCGGGATAAAAACCGGAAACCAGTGGTGATGAAAATAAAGCCAGGTATGGAAAGGAGAACTGCACAGTGACTCCTAACCTGATGGTTCTGGCTTTGGTTCTCTGCAGGGTCTTTTCCCCACAGAGTCCTTTCTTTGTCTCCACACCTCCTTTCCCCTCTTGCTTCTCTTTCCTTTCTTGTCTGTTTTGAATGGACTGACTGCTGCCTTGTTCAAACACCCAGGGCATTTGGTGTTTTCTCTCCTGAGGCAGCTATCACAGTAAGTGAGGCACTGCTCATGTGTCTGCTGGTTAAGAGGGTTTTGTTTTTTTCCCTACTTGTAGCCACTGATACAAGGAATTTGCCTATAACTCAAAATCTATTCTTTTGGCCAGGCACTGGTGGCTCATGCCTATAATCCTATCTACTTAGGAGGCTAAGATCTGAGGATCACAGTTCAAAACCAGCCTGAACAGGAAAGTCCATGAGACTCTTTATCTCCAGTTAACCACCAGAAAACCAAAAGTAGTGCTGTGGCTCAAGTGGTAGAGTACTTCCCTTGAGCTGAAGAGCTCAGGGACAGCATCCAGGGCCAGAGTTCAAGCCCCACAACTGACCCAAAAAAAAAAAAAAAAAAAAAAAAAAAATATATATATATATATATATATATATATATACATATATATTAACTCATGTGTGTGTGCACACTCCAATTCTAAGGTTTGAACTCAGGGCCTGATTACTGTCCCTAAGCTTTTTTGCTCAAGGTAACACTCTACCAGTTGAGCCACAGCTCCACTTCAGGCTGTTTTGATGTTTACTTGGAGATAAAGAGTCTTATAGACTCCTGCCCAGGCTGGCTTCAAATAGTGATCTTTAGATCTCAGCCTCTTGAGTAGCTAGGATTATAGGCATGAACCAGTGGCGCTCAACTTCTCTAACACTTTGATATATTTGTGATTTTTTTTTTTTTTGGTCAGTCATGGGGTCTGAACTCTGGGCCTGGATGCTGTCCCTCAGCTCTTCAGCTCAAGGCTAGTGCTCTACCACTTGAGCCATAGCATCACTTCTGACTTTTTCTGCTTATGTGGTGCTGAGGAATCAAAACCAGAACCTCATGCATTCAAGGCAAGCACTCTCCACTGAGCCACCTTCCCAACCCCTATTAGTGATTTTAAAAATTGTTGCCCAAATATATTTCTAATCAGCTAGGTAAAACAAAACAAAAACACCCATAGGACTTAAAAAGCCAATATACTGTCCAGTTATTAAGATACTGTTCTTTTCTAAGCCAACACAGTTTGTAAAGATTAAAACTTGACTTTCTCTATAGATAATTTATATGAACAATTCTCAACTTTTTCTCTTTGTCACCATATCTATAGGTAACACCCTATCAGGAAGATAGCAAAGTACCAAAGTACCCCAAAATAAGGTTCCAGGTCTTACTAGCCACTGACTGTAGTCAGTAGGTTACAGGCTTTTATTACAGAGATGAATCACTTTTATTTCATCTTACCAATGTGTTGGTTGAACAATAAAACACTAAATCCAAACTCTAAGGAGTTTATCTTTTAAATGTTAAACACCAAGAAATGATCAATGTTTAAGGCAGTGGAAATCCCAGTGACTCATTTGAGCAGCACATGGTTGCACAGTGGAATCACCATACCACATCTCTAAAATGTGGACAAATTCTGCATGTCTTGCAAAAAAATTTAAAGCAGACATTAGTAAGCAATCATATTATAGTTATTAGTATCAAGTATATTTCTTTGAAGGTTTCTTTAAGACTTAGTGAATAACTTAATTTTTAGTTTTCAGTTTTCCTGCCCTTTAAATTTTATATATGCTTTCTCTAGGAAAGGTTTCAGAATTAAAGTTATATTGGAAAAAAAAGTTCACAGAAGAGAAATAAGTAACACATGATAAAACCCTGTGTTTCACCCGCCCTCACACATCAGGTTCCACAGTGACTAGACACGTCTCTTGGAGGAGGGTGAGAATTTATGCCTTGGAGTTGCCCTTTTGAAATGAAGGGGCAGTTCTGCCATCCCAGGGTAAATACTAAGGTTGATGGCCCCTCACTCTGTGCCAGTAACCTTCTTATGCCACCTCTGTCACCTGGCATGGCCTTCACATATAGTACACAGCAAGGCTCTGGAAATTTCCTCAATAGATTCTGGTTACTTTAAATCCTTGTGTCCATTGAAGTTGTATTTGGACTCCAAAGACTTACCTTTTAGTCCGTTTATTGCCAATTCCTTTCACAAATCATTTAACCTCTCTGAGTCTGCGGTTTCCTAATCTATGTGTCCTAATCTCTGAAGTCAGGAGTTTGAAGGGCTTCTAAAGTCCCTCTCCTTTTTAATATTGTAGGCTTAATGACAGCTGTATATATCTGCTCACTTCTGTACACAGTTAGCAAATGTTCGCTGAGTACCTCTGTTTGTCAGACACTGTTAGGGCTGGGAATATAGATTTGAACAAAGCATAGTGTGTGCCCTTGAGACACTGCCATTGTAAATAGACAGGTAATGAGGTAAGTGATCCTGACATGGTATGATGACTGTAGAACTATCAGTGGGGAGACCATGGAGTGTTAGAAGAGCTCCTCTCTTCTGGGGTCCTGCTAGGGTGGACTTCCATGGAGGATGAAGCTGAATGGACATTCAAGAGTTAACTAGGTGAAAGAGGTAGGGGAAGAGAAGGCTGTTCCTGGTGGAAGTACAGAGGACCTAAGTCCAGAATCAGGTGCGTTATAGAAATGTTAGTTCCACATTGCTGAAGCCAGTAGAAGGAACTAGGGAGATGAGGACGAGTACAAATGTGGGTAGGCTGTACTCTTCTAGGGCTAAGCTTTGTGTGGAAGAGGACAGGAAGGAGCTACAAAGGATTCTAAATGGGGAAGTGTCCTCATGGTAAAGAAATGGTGGAGTGCAGTCAAGAAGGAGTGTGTGTTTCTAAAGGCCAGCAGAGGGCAGTAGTGTATAAAGAGCAGTGAGGTACACAGGAACCAGAGATGACATCATTGGAAATCAGATTATACATTGGGGCACAGGAATGGGGTTTTACCCAGGATACTAGCCTGGATGCTGAAGTAGGTAAAGCTGCAAGAGCAGGTTTGCAGTGGACTTGGATTGGGTTCAGACTAGGATGTGTTGGGTCTGGGATGGCTGTGCGAATACACAATGGCAATGCACAGTGTAATGAGCTGAAGGCTGGGGAAGAGCACTGGGGCTAGAAGTAAGACAGTGACCTGTGGATGTTGAAGATGCTGGTAGCAGTGGCACTGCATGAGCTTGCCTGAGTTGGGGGCATGTTTCTTGAATATAGGGTTAAGCTCTTCGGTGGGGTACATAGTAGGGGCTGATGATGAAAAAGAGGGCCTACGGATGAATCCTTTCATGCCACACTTGGAAAAAGTCTTTGAGAGAAGAGGAATATGGGAAGCTAAGAGAATATAGAGTACAATTTGAGATTTTTCCCTGACTGCTGTGTTAGGTAAGGAATGGCCTGTTAATTGGAATGTCCTGTTTCTCCAGGCATCTCAGAGTTTGCTACGTCCCCAGAGAAAGTCAGTGATTACATTTCTCCACTTTTGAACTTTGCTGCCGAGCATGTGCCACGGGCTAAACACAAAGAGACACCCCTCTACATTCTCTGCACAGCTGGCATGAGAGTCCTCCCTGAAAGGTGATCCTCCCCTCCTCCTGTCTTCTTCCTCCTCCTCCCTCCTCATACTCATCAAAAGCAAGACCTTCAAACTTCTTCCCCCAAATATGAACTGGTCCCCAAACCAAAACCCACCAACTACCTTTTAATCCATTTATGACTATAAATTTTAAACTTAACATTTTAAAACCAATCAATTCTATTATTTGTCTTTGTAGTTGCAGTTTTACATCACTACTTGCTTATTTTGAAAAAACTATTCCTAAAATAAATCATGAATTTCCAATGAATTGCTTTGGTTTTAAAATCATTGCATGCAGCCTAGACCAGATCCATGGTTTGGGTTTTGGTTTGGGTTGTGGTTTCTTTGCAAAGCATAAAAGTTGAGCTGTAACCCTGGTGTGTGGATTTGGGTTACCTTGCAGCCAGCAGAAGGCCATCCTGGAAGACCTCCTGACGGACATCCCCGTGCACTTTGACTTCCTGTTCTCTGACTCCCATGCTGAAGTCATTTCAGGGAAGCAAGAAGGTTGGTATCTCAGCCTTCAACTTAGAATCTGCGAACCTCTTCCTTTCAGTCCTCCCCATTCTCCCCAGTGTATTAAATTACTCAATAGTTTAAAATTTGCAATATCACAACCTTGAAATACTATTTTTAAATGCCTCAGTTTGTTTCCTATACGCCTGGTCTTTAGGTCCAGACCTTAAATCCATTTTTTAAAAATCCAGTTTCTATGAAAAGGAAATCTTTGGGATGCTATTTTAGGGAGACTGGGAAGGGAAGTATGATAGAGGAGGTGAAATTGATTGGAATACAATATAAATGTCCATGGAGATATATCAGTGAAATCCTCCTGCATAATTAATATAACGAATTGTAAAATTTAAACTCTCAAAAAAAAAAAACCCTCAGCTTGTCATCACCATGTTTCAGGAACATGTTTTGAACTCATTGTGAAAGAGAAGTTTTACATTCCTTATCTCACTGATAAGGCTTTTGGGGTTGTAATTGCTTAGGTATTAGAACCCCTGAATTACTCACTGGCAAGAAGAAATTATTACTATTTTTTTGTTCAAGACTGGACTCAAACTCAGTATCTGATGTTTTTACTCATTGGCTGGTGCTTGACCACCTGAGCCATGCCTTCAACCCCAAGAAGAAATTCTTAACTTTGATTTACTGAGAAAATAGTTTTATTTTTAAAGAAATTTGGGCTGGGAAGGTGGCTCAGTGGTAGAGCGCTTGCCTTGCATGCTCGAGGCCCTGGGTTTGATTCCTCAGCACCACATAAGCAAAAAGAAAAAAGCCGGAAGTGGTGCTGTGGCTCAAGTGGTAGAGTGCTAGCCTTGAGCTGAAGAGCTGAGGGACAGCGCCCAGGTCCAGAGTTCAGGCCCCATGACCGGACCCAAAAAAAAAATTATTCTACTTGAGAATGAAATAAGTCAGTGAAATTGGGCAATAGTTTGATAGACATAGACATTCAAATGTGCAATATTAATTTCAAAACTCTCAGCCAATCAGTACTTCCTATATGATAGACACTACAGGAATACAGAATAGAGTGGACCACCATTGAGCTACTTACAGGGTCAAAAGAAAATGAAGAGAAAATAACATGGGTGATTTAAAGAGGCAGTCTGAAGAAATTAGCCTCTGTCTGACTATGCCCTAAAGGATAGTTGTAAATCAAACCACCAGAGCAGGATAAGAGGAGGGCTCTGAGGAAGGAGAGGAAGCAGAGTCCCAGTGGAAGAAATGGTCCAATCACTGCAGGGCAGACAGCATGCATTATGGGTAGACACATAGGGGTTTTCACTTGGTTCCTGGAGAGCTAATGGCAATACTGAAAATGAGACAGGTCTTGAACTGTCAGTCAAGAGTTTAGACTTTGTATCCCTCCCTTTAGAATTCTTTGTAATGTGGTTTGGTGATCATGAACTCCTTTCATTTTTGTTTGTCATGGAAGGTTTTGGTTTCACCATCTGATGTATATAGTGTCTGGTATCTTCGTTGGGTAGAATAGTTTGGGTTGGCAGTTGATCTTTAGTGTGTGGATTATACCATTCCAGCTTTGTTCAATAGATAAGCCCAACAATAGAGGATAGGCAGGGCCAGGAAGATTATTAGATGGACTGTCACCTTTTCTTTCTGTAGTGATCTAAGACAAGACAAAAATCAGTTTTACTTAAACCTGGGTAAAATTGTCTCTAAGAAATGTTTTGAAAGTAGAATCAAAGCTGGCAAGAGTGAATAAATGCAAGAGATAGGAAAGGCTTGATAGAAGACAATGGGTTTGTTTTTTGTTTTTGTTTTGTTTTTTGGTCTTGGGGCTTGAACTTGGTCTGGGCACTGTCCTTGAGCTTTTTTGCTCGAGGCTAGCGCTCTTTGAGCCACAGCTCCACTTCCTATTTTCTGATGGGTAGTTGGAGATCAGAGTCTCACTAACTTTCTTGTGTGGGCTATCTTTGAACCGTGATCCTCAGAGCTCAGCCTCCTAAATAGCTAGGATTATAGGCATGAGCCACTGGCACCTGACTGTAACTTAGGTTTTTAAAACCTGTTCATTAGCCAGGACTGAAAAATACATAAATAAGTAAGTAAATGAATGAAAAACCTGGCAATTGATAAGTTAAATTTCATATGAAAATAAAGTATCATAAAAAGTAAAATCTCTAGTATTTTGTAACCCATAAAATTTAAGGGAAGTGAGCTACTGAGGAATTTTGTTTTAAACCTATATAAATGATATAAAACTATAAATATGGAACTTGAAGCTCTTGAGAATCCATTAGAAAAGGATGAAAAACCAGAAGAAATATGTTGGTTTTTAGGAGATATTTTTACTGATTAAAACAAATAGGATTTTGCACAGACTGTACTAAGAGATTTAAAACTTCAGTTTTCTTATTTTTACACCTACAGGTGTGTATGCTTGGATTGGCATTAACTTTGTCCTGGGACGATTCGAGCATATTGAGGAGGGTAAGTTTCGTGGTTCCTTCTGGTGTGTTCTACAGGGAAGTGTGGTTTTTCTGTTTAATGCAGAGGCTGAGAAAGGAGCTAAGTTCCATGGTTCTGCTGAGAATGAGGCAAAAAGTTAACCCAGTTAAACATGGCCTTCCTTGGGAGGAAAAGATGAGTTTGCCTTGTACTAGATAGCATGGAAGTCCGCGGGAACCCACAGCTCCCAGTGCTCAGTGAGTGCTGTGCTCAGTGCTCATGTTCTTTCCAGATGATGAGGCCGTTGTGGAAGTTAATGTTCCTGGGAGTGAGAGCAGCGAGGCCATCATCCGGAAAAGGACAGCGGGTATTCTCGACATGGGAGGCGTGTCCACTCAGATAGCATACGAAGTCCCCAAAACTGTAAGCTTTGCCTCCTCACAGCAGGTTATTATCTGTACAAATTGCTTTCTTTTTGGTTTGGTTTTCATTTAACATGTCTCCATCCATTTCTGTTTTGTTTCCTGAGTCTGACTCGTCTGTAGATTGTTTGCTGAGGTTCACCTTCTCAGCCCAGAAGGAGGAGGCAGGAGGAGGAGGCAGGCCTCGGCCAAGCCATGGCATTTGTGCACTGAGTCCAGCTGGTTTGTTTTCTGAACATAGAGTTTCTCTTTGGTATATGTGTCAGGCACATGCTTGAGGTTTACATTTTCATCACTTCCTTTCTCAACAGGCTTTTAAAAACTGAAGTTAGTGACATCAGGTTTTTTTTAAGTTATAATTGGAGAAATCTTTTTTTTTAAATGGCTCAGTGTCTTTGAACGTTCCTGGAAAGGTTATCTTTACTATCCACACCTCTGAGCATCTTTCCCCTGTGTCAGTCATGTCCTGTGGTCCTCAGCAAGCTGGGCCTTGAACAGAGAACACCAGATCATGTCCCTGTGTGTCCCTGAACTGACACGTGTCCCTTAGCCCTCTTTCTGTCCCATCTGCAGGTATACCCCAAAGCCTGGTCTCCTACACTGTCCCCAGAGCCAGGGCTGCAGAAGCATGTGGTGGCTGAGTGCAGCATAGGGTTGGGCAAGCCTGGGTATCAGCCTCACCCTGTTCTTCCTAGTGATGCGACCTTATCCCACAACTGTGTACACCAGCAGTTTTGTTTTAGCAATAAATGTGGGTTTCATTAAGCCCTCACATAGATAATTATAATATTTAAATAAGATATTGTATAGAATCTATTTATTGTACTTCCAAGCACCTGGTATATACTCAGGAATACTTTTGTGTCTTCATTAAGCTTCTTAGGAAACAATGTCTTAAATTTAAGTGTTAGAATCTGTGCACCTGTTTCATGTTCCAGATATGCCTCTAGAAATGGCTCAAGTCTTCCTCCCTCAATATAAAGTAACAAGTACATGTAAATGAACCTTAAGAAAGACAGAAAAATGTAGCCACAAACTCTCCCCATATAATGTAAGCAAATTAAAAAATCCCCATTGGACTCAATCCAAGGAAAAATCGTCAACATTTTGATAGATTTCATTCTTTGTTTCCTATTTATAGTTTTTGAAAATTTAGTTGTTATGGCCTTATTATTTATATGATTTTCTAACAGTACATAAGCATGTTTCTCTATATTATTATATTAAATATTATTATAACTAACTTAACATTTCCTTGATATCGTACACATAGATGACATCCAATTTTTTCAATCATAAAACTGCATTGGATTCCATAGATTTTTCTGGGTAAAAAGATAGAACCTATATTGCTAACTTCCTTTTTCAGAAAGCCCTAATCTCACCACAGTGTACAATGTATCTGAAATTTCCCAAGTCAAAACCATCTTACTGAATTTTGAAAGAGGCTTAGGAGATGAAGAAAACTGTGTGTTGATCTTTTTTTTGTTGTTGTTCCGGTCGTGGGGCCTGAACTCTGGGCCTGGGTGCTGCCCCTCAGCTCTTCAGCTCAAGGCTAGCACTCTACCACTTGAGCCACAGAGCCACTTCCGGCTTTTTTTTTCTGCTTATGTGGTGCTGAGGAATCAAACCCAGGGCCTCATGCATGCAAGGCAAGCGCTCTACCACTGAGCCAACTTCCCAGCCCTGTGTGTTGATCTTAAATGAACTCGTCTTCGATCTTTTTTTTTTTTAAGTTACTTTTTGTGTGTGTGGTGCTGGAGATTGAATCCAGAACCTTGTGCATGCTGGGCATGCGCTCACCCACTGATCCACACCCCCAGCCCCAGTGTGGCTTTAAAATATTAAAATTTGTCATCCTTATGTCTGCAGGAGGAAGTAGCTAAAAACTTATTAGCTGAATTTAATTTGGGCTGTGATGTTCACCAAACGGAGCATGTTTACCGAGTCTATGTGGCCACATTTCTTGGGTTTGGTGGCAACGCTGCTCGACAGAGATATGAAGACAGAATATTTGCCAGCACAGTTCAGAAAAACAGGTAAAATGGCTTTCAGGAAGATGCTTGCAAACCCAAGTCTCTCCTTATCAAACTCAGATCCAAGCCAATCTGAAAAAGTGTATTCGTCCCTGTAGATTCCCCCAGTTGAGCTGGGGATGGGAATGAGTGGGCCTTGGCGTCACGTTCCCAGTCCAGTGACTAGCCAGACTCACCGGAGGCACATATTTGCTCAGTCTTTCTCTGTCCCAAGCTCTTAGACTCACACCTCACCTGATGGGTGGAAATGTCACCAAGCAAACAGCAAACCAGTGTTGAGCCTTGGGTGATGCTGTTCCTGATTGCAGAGGCCTTTGGACACATCCGCAGGGTATCCTGGAGCATATAGCTAGCTGTGCTTGTCCTCAAGCAGACTGACACGTGGGACTGTCTGGAGACTGTGGGTAGTAGTGGATAAAAACCACATGGAGGGGGACTATCCAAGAGCAAGGAATAATCTTGAAGTCAGAGTTAGCTTAGTAGCTGTATAGTATTTTGAAGCTGGCAAGGTGCATGCCTAAATCCCAACACTTGGAAGACTAAGACAAGATGATCCATCATTTGAAGACAGCCTGGATTACATAGTAGAATGCTCTCTCCAAAAACCAGCCAAAGACAGAAACAACAAAAAGGACAGAGTTGAGCTGGACACCGGTGGCTCATGCCTGTAATCCTAGCTACTCGGGAAGCTGAGATCTGAGGATCATGGTTCAAAGCCAGCCTGGGCAGGAAAATCCATGAGACTCATCTCCAATAAACAACCAGAAAACCGGAAGTGGTGCTGTCCCTCAAGCGGTAGAGCACTTGCCTTGAGCTGAAGTGCACAGGGTCCAAGCCAAGAGTTCAAGCCCCATGACCAAAAAAGAAAAAAAAAAAAAAAAAAGACAGTTTCAGCAGTATAACTATTAAGAATGTTTGTGTGAACTTCTAGTGTAGAAAACGTAAAACAAAGCAACATTCTGTCAGTTTAAATTTAAATATGTAGCAACAAGAGATGGCAATGAGGTGGATTGAGGTTCAAGATCAGCCTGGGCAAAGTGTTAGGAAGATCTCCATTCTCAACAAAAAAGGTGGTGTGGTGGCCCATGCCCGTCCTGTCAACTGCGTGCAAGGCATTAGGAGAAACATCTAGGTTTAGGCTGGCTCTGGGCAAACAATGCAAGACCCTACCTAAGAAGTACAGCAGATGGCAATGGGGAAGTGTGGCTTAAGTGTAGAACACCTGCCTAGCCAGTAAGAGGCCCTGAATTCAAACCTCATACTGCCAAAAAGACTTTTCTTTTTCTTTCTTCCTTCCTTCCTTTCTTTTCTTTTTTTTTTTTTTTTTTTTTTGTTGTTGTTGGTCATGGGACTTGAACTCTGGACTTGGGTGCCATCCCTGCATTCTTCAGCTCAAGGTGAGTGCTCTACCACTTGAGCCACAGTGCCACTTCTGGTTTTCTAGTGGTTTATTGGAGAAAAAGTCTCATGGACTGTCCTGCCCAGGCTGGCTTTGAACTATGATCCTCAGATCTCAACCTCCTGAGTAGCTAGGATTACAGGAGTGAGCCACCAATGCCTGGCCCACAAAAAGACTTTTCAAAAAGCATATAACAATTATTTATTTGAATACCCACATAGGATCAGAAAAGCTACTTGAATGAATTTCATGTGAACACTCAGCAGAAGTATTGCAGGGAACCAAGTGGTAGACTAGAGGTGCAGCTCAAATAGTAGAGCTCTAGCCGAGCAAGTCCCAGGTTCTAAGTTCAAGCCACAGTATGGCTAAAAAAAAAAAAGCATCAGGTAAGTGGACAGCTTTCTTGGACTTCGACGGCAGGGTCTGGAGTGTGTGAGAACATACCGTGAGTCTTCAGGAAGGGGTTGGGTACCAAGTCTCTGAACTATTTTTGGAGCCCTTTGTGTACAACAGATGCAGACCTGTGGAATCTATCCCACAGATAGGAAAAATGCTAGCTTATAGCCAGTTGTCAAAAACAGTGCAACCTAGATCTCATGATAAAATGGCTCTTCGTGCCACAGGCTCCTGAGTAAACAGACTGGTCTGACCCGTGATGCTCCCTACCTGGACCCATGCCTGCCCCTGGACATTAAAGATGAGATCCGACAAAATGGACAGACCTTGTACCTGCGGGGAACAGGAGACTTTGATCTGTGTCGAGAAACCCTCCAGCCTTTCATGAACAAAACCAATGAGACACAGACATCCCTCAATGGCGTCTACCAGCCTCCAATTCACTTCCAGAACAGTGAATTCTATGGCTTCTCTGAGTTCTACTATTGCACCGAGGATGTGTTGCGGATGGGGGGAGACTACAATGCTGCCAAATTCACTAAAGCTGCAAAGGTAACCTGCCCACAATCCTCTGCTCGCTTCACCAATGGATAGGGCAGGCCGTGATCTCCCCTCACCTCGAGGGAAAGATGGTTTGTAGTGCATGCAGCCTGTAGGGTCCTGCTTCCTTGGGTTGGGTCACAGAAGTAAAGGACCCACCCACTCTAGTAACTGCTGGTCACCAGGGATCTCCTGGCAGACTTCTCGCTCTAGCTGCCAGGACACTAATTTCCTCTGCTCCTGACCCCTTCCCGGGTTCCAGGTTCTGTTCCTGTTGGGCTGTGGTGGCTGTTGACATCAGCAGTCATCCAGGCCCCTCTCCACAACCTCGGCACAGGCACTCCGTTCTTAAGGGCTTTCCTTTTTGTTTTGTTTGGCAGTGCTGGGGATGGATCCCAAGCCTTTGTACTTTGTACTTCATACTAAGCAAGAACTCTGCCTCTGAGCTGCCTCCCCAGCTCCCTGATTTCTCTCTTTGTTCCACATTCCTTCCTCCCTGTCAGTACCTTTGTGCAGGCCTCTGCCCATCACGGGTACTATTGTATTTGCCACCCACTTGGTCTTGTGTCTGGTCTTCTCTCTAGCATTCACGCTCCATGTTCTCCCAGGGTGTTTGTGAAGCACATACTGTCGCCTGACTTCTATGTAGTCTTGTGCTTGGGGAATGAAGCTCATGTACCCTCATCTCCCCACCCCCGGCACCGGGTTCTCTCTCCCACCGGGTCAGGTAGCGGTTACTTCCCTCACTCTGTGGCTTCCCCCATGGGTTCATTCTCTGAGCCACAGTTTCTCAGTCCTGGGAAGCAGTTAGGCGAGTAGCTATGTTGGGAGGATGGGGGGTCTACTCAAAAGCAGCACCCAGTGCCCCAGTGCTCAGTGAGTGCCAGCTGTTACGTCACTACAGGTGACTTAGGACAGGGGAGTGCCTCTTTGCCCTCTGTCATCACCGCTGTCTCCTGGTACACTGCTCTGAGCCTCCCCCAGATCCAGGGACTCTGAACAGGTTGAAACACGGCTAGAACTTAAATGCTTGTGATGTAGTTGTGGAGGGAGAACTAAACAAACTTGAAGAGATTGGTTGGGGGCAGTGAAAGTGCCAGAAAAAGGAATGAGTATTGCGTGTGCTAATATGCATCCCCAGGCCTTGAATTTCGTGTGTCTGCTAATTGGAAGGGTATACTTGTTATGAATATGGATTTGATAAGCCATTTTTAAATGGAAGAACGTATTTTGATTAGACTCTTTTTTTTTTGGCCAGTCTTGGGGCTTGAACTCAGGGCCTGGGCATGAACTCAGGGCCTGGGCACTGTCTCTGGGCTTCTTTTGCTCAAGGCTAGCACTCTACAACTTGAGCCACAGTGCCACTTTCGGCTTTTTCTGCTTACGTGGTACTGAGGAATCGAACCCAGGGCTTCATGTACACTTGATAAGACTTTTTAAAAGATGACTTTACCAATGATTTCTTTGGGGTGAAATTGCTTCCAGGATTATTGTGCAACGAAGTGGTCGATCTTGCAGGAACGCTTTGACCGAGGGCTCTATGCCTCCCATGCTGACCTCCACCGGCTGAAGTAAGTACCAGACTGTCCACCCTGGGATGCTTTTAGGAAGACATCTGTTCATCTTGGCCCCAGACTGTTTTTTATCTCCTTCAGTCACTTTTCCTTCTCGTCAACACTTAGCTCCTTTCTAATGGGACAAGTACTTCTGTTCCCACGCATAGCCTGTGGGATTTTTGGCTCCATTTTGCTGTTCTTTCCCCTGACATTCCATCACGCGTAACCGTTGGTCAGGTGCTGTCCGTGCCCAATTCCCTTTGTCCTCTCAGCCAGCCTCCGTCCTTCCCTGAGCCTCCAGAACACCCAGGGCACATTTCCTCTCACTCAGCCACTTCTGTACAGTGGTTATATTTGATTGCTCATGAGTGCATTTTATTATTAGCTTAATTATCACAGTGCTTGCCAAAAGTAGGCCTCTCTAGTAAACATTAAGGATCAGAGAATATCAGAGCTGGAAAAGACTTTCCTGCTTTCTCATTTTGTAATAAATCATGTCCCAAGAAGTTGGAACTTGCTGAGTATTTGCTCAGTAAATAAATGATGGGATATCTAAGCAGTGGCAGGGAGAATCTGTCATGGTAAGGCATTAAATTATACTGTCACTGATTGCATGAGCTAATTGATTTTTGTTCAGCAATACTAGGTTGAACTCAGGGCATGTACTCTACCTCTTCAACTATGTCTCAAGCCCTTTTTGCTTTAGTTGTTTTTCTGAATAGAGTCTTATATTTATGTACAGACTGGCCTGGACCATACTATTCTTACTTATACTTCACTCTGCCTAGTAACACTCTCTCCCATGAGGATGGACTGACAGGCCACATACAGCTTCGATTGGTTTAGATGGCATCTCCTGAACTTTTTGCCCTGCTATCTCAAACTATGATCCTCTCTCTCTCTCAAGTTACTAGAATTACAGGAATAAGCTACCAACCAGGTGGGCTAATTGATTTTGACAGATGAACTGTTCTGTGTTGTGGGACAGGGCCTAGAGCCAGGAAGATCAGCTGGAAGCACATTCAGTTGGCTGCTCAGAGAGCCAGCTTGCCTCCGCCTGTGCATGCAGTCTCTGCCAGAGGAGTCCACCTGACTTTGTTTGTGCTTGGCACTTGCAGGTATCAGTGCTTCAAATCCGCCTGGATGTTTGAGGTGTTCCATAGAGGGTTTTCCTTTCCCATCAACTACAGAAGCCTAAAGACCGCCTTGCAGGTGTATGACAAGGAAGTGCAGTGGACCCTGGGGGCCATCCTTTACAGGACTCGCTTCCTGCCCCTGAGGTAGGCTGCCAGTGTGGCACAGAGAGTCACAAGAGATGTCTGTGCTCAGGGCTCTTGGTGGCTGCGCCTCCCAACATTTGGGGTGCTGCTGTCGGAGCTGTCTGTGGGCGGAGGACTGCACTGTGGTCTTCCCCATCCCCCAACACAGTGCACAGCTCCTTTGTGCTGTGCCCCTTTAGGTGGTGGTTCTCCTCTTTCCGCTCCCTAACTGCTGCAAAACGGTTAAATCCAAGGCAATTGGCCTTTCTGGCCTTGGACCCCTTCTCACTACTGTTGAATAGGATTGTAGACATTTTGACATACGTTTATCAAACTTAAAAGAAGTTTGCATGAAGGCAGACACGTGGACTTTATGAATACTAAATAGCAAGGCTTCACAGGGTCTGACGGATCGTTTCAGTCATTTTGGTGTAGTGCTGAAAGGTTGGACATGAGGAAAGTTGGGTTTCCATCAGTTACATAGTCATAGCTGTGTCGAAGTGTCGAATCTATTTGTTGTCCACTGTCATAATCAAAGGAAAGACTAAGCTTTAGTTGAAGACTGATATTTTTCCCCATTCAAGTTTATAGACCTCCCTCAGGTCACCCATGCTCAGCACCCTGATAAATGAAGTACTAACCGTACTCCACCATTTACTTTAGCACGCTGCACCAGGCCAGCAGTTGGACCCACTACAGAAATTGTGTAATGCAGATATCAATTCTGTTACTCAGATTATATTGCTGGAAACTAGAGGTAACAAAGACCCTACATTGGGCCTACTGTCTGCAGTTTCAGAAGAAAGGAAACTAGCCTCAGTGACCAGGTTCTAAGCTATGTCTGAAGAACTGCACTCACACCAGCACTCACACCAGTGTTCATACTCACACCAGCACTCACACCAATGTTCACTCACCAGCACTTGTACCAATAGGCGCATTCACACCAGCGCTGTCCCTTCACCATCTTACCGTCCTGTTTGTTTCTGGTTTTGTCTTTGTGTGGGCAGGGACATCCAGCAGGAGAGTTTCCGGGCCAGTCATGCGCACTGGCGGGGCGTCTCCTTTGTCTACAACCACTACCTGTTCTCGGGCTGCTTCCTCGTGGTCCTGCTGTCCATCCTCCTCTACCTGCTGCGGCTCCAGCGTTTCCACCGGCGGGCACCGCGCAGTGGCTCAGCTGCGGCCCTCTGGCTGGAGGAGGGCCTGTCCTCCCAGAAGGGCCCCGGCCCCTTGTGAGCTGTGAGCTGCTCCAGCAAGACTGCCTCTGCGAAAAGCCACTTTTGCCTCAGGGTTTCACCTCCACATACTCTGATACTTTGTTTTTCCCTGTCTTTTTGTGAAAACAACACCCATTGTTTGTAAGTCCTGATGTCTGGCAGTGCAGCGTTCAGCTGTTAGGACTACAGCTTTAAACTGAGGAGTAGGAAAAGGGAAATTCACTGGACTCTTGCTGCATAGATATTCTCCAAAAATTAGTAAAAATTTTTGTTTTATTCTATGGTATGTTAAATTATCAACAAATGCACTTTGTGTGGGACAAGTGGAAAAGATACTTTCCCTTCTGTCGGTGAGTTCCTTGTGCAGAATCAAAATGCAAATGCTGTCTCAAAAGCTCAACCTAAGGAGAATGGCACTTCATTTTTATTTATTGCTCAGGTATCACTTTATGTGTTTACTTTGCTGATACAAACATTCAGAATCATTCATAGCCAAAATAGGTGACAGTAGGCACCAGGCGGTAGTGAGATGTGAAAGACGTGAGCTTTGGGCACGAGGTGTGCCTGTGACAGGTGCGAGGACCCGGACGAGGCACAGGGTGTCCTGCAGGCACTCGCGTCAGAATTGACTGGCGCCTTCGTTCAGGAAATACTCCCCTGCCCCTGCGTTGCTGTCGCTTTACCTGCCCATGGATCCTCTGCAGCCTTGAGACACTTCGGTTTTTAAAAACTTAGACAGTTCATAGTTTCCTTGTTTGACTGTCAGGACTAGAGCTGGTGCTCATTGGAGGCACAGGGACATTGCTTAGGAGCACAGTTCTGCTTGCTTAACTGTGTTCGTCTCTTGCAGCTCAAGCTCAGTATTGCCCCCAACTCCCGTAAGGAAAGGTCATCTAGCAGTTGTATCTGGGAGAGCCTCTGTATCACCTGACCAGTTCTCATCGTCACTACTGTATTCGCAACCAACTTTGGCAATGGTGTGGTAAGTCCACACTATGAAAGAAATCTGAATTTAACACAAAAAAAATAAACTCAGGTTTTGAAGAAAACAAATTTGACATTTTAAGCAAAAACCCAAAAAGGACAACGGATTGGCATGTTTGAAGTTGATTTTTTTATTGTTTATTTTTTGTTGGGTTTTTAAATTTTAACAATTCATTTTGTTAAAAAGTTTAGGACTTCTCACTCATAGCTTTTGTTAGAAGTTTTTTTTGTGGGAGTACATGTGTGTGTACACATATTTCCTCACTAAAGCAGTTAAATTCATGTAGCTGATGGTGGATTTTGAGAACCATTAGGTACAAATTAGAAAATCATTGCTTAGAGAGAGAATTTAAATTCTGAAGCCCTGTTTCACTTAAGAAAAAAGTTCTGATATACCGCATGCTGATGACTTTAAAGACTACAAACTTAAAAAAGAAAAGCAAATTCTCTTCTTCAGAATGAGCATTCTAGCAATGACAGAGTCATAGGTAGGAGGTAGAGGAGGTGGCTGGTGTTAGAGTTAATAGGCAGGCTTGTTCCAGAAAGCCCAACACTGGAGTGAGTGTCCCTGTGAACCCCCAGCCACGGATGAGCCTGTCATAGTGTCCCAGCAGGCCATGGGGCCAGTGTGCCCCCCTTGGACTCATAGGAGAGGTGGCTCTGTGGACCACAGATGGTGTCAGTGTCAAAAGATGTATGTTTACACTTTAGCTTTTTGTTACCGTCCAGTTGGAATAGTAAAGCCTGGTAACATGTAGAAAGAAAATTGTTCTTTAAAATCAGGACAAAGGGAAGCCAGCTCAGGAACAGATCTACAGAGCCTCATTAAGACTCTTTCCCGTAAATTGCCCCTCTTTAAATGAGGGATGTGAGTTTGGTCCAGCTCTTGGCAGTTTGGGAGATCAAATTGTCCAACCAAAGAGGTCTTCAGCCAACCCTGAGGATCCCTGCCGCTGAGACACACACCCCCCTCCACCCAAAGCATCCCAAATACTTTATGTGGTAAAGCCATGCTCCTCTGACAGCTCCTTGAAGCAGGGCTTCAAGACCTGTGAGCAAAGGATTTTTAATTAAAAAGTTAATGTATAATCCCTTCACTGGGGAGATTGAGGGGCAAGAGGGGTTGCTAGTTCAAGTCTAGCCTGAGCACAGCAAGATCCAGTCTCAAAAACAAAAAGGTGAAGAACATGCAACAGAGACTATACAAAGCCAAGAAAGCCTAAAATACTTACTAAAAAGCCCTTACAGTTTCCATTACTGTAACAAATACTTGAGGCAATCAGCTTAGGAAGAGAAAAGGTTTGTTTTGGCTCATGACTGGAGAGGTTTCAGTCCAGAATCAGTGGGCCCATTGTTTGGGTCCATGGTGAGGACACCATAGGGGAAGTGTATAGTGGAACAAAACTGCTTGTTTCGTGGTCTGTAGCTAGAGGGGAAGACGAGGGCCCAGGTTCCTTCACCCCCACTCAAGGGCGTGACCCTGTGACTGGAAGATACTTGAGCACTACCTCTCGGTAGTTCTACTACCTTCCCATAGCGCCAGGTTGGAGACCAAGATGTTCACTTAAATGTGCTTTCAGGACAACCATTGCACAGATCCACTGTAGCACTGGCCTGGGAGAACAATCTAGGAAGGAAACGGGGCAGCATCTTAATCCAGCAGCATAGTTGGTTGTCATGAAGCCCAAAAGAGGGCAAGAGAATTGGCCAGACTTCAACCTGACATCTGCTTACGCACGAGTTTTCTTCTTATCTCTGCTCCTAGATTATTTTTAAGACACTGATTATTTTTTTAAGAAACCTATCTTGGGCTGGGAAGGTGGCTCAGTGGTAGAGTGCTTGCCTTGCATGCATGAGGCCCTCGGTTCGATTCCTCAGCACCACATAAGCAGAAAAAGCCGGAAGTGGGGCTGAGGCTCAAGTGGTAGAGCGCTAGTCTACAGCTGAAGAGCTGAGGGACAGCGTCCAGGCCCAGAGTTCAGGCCCCATGACCGACAAAAAAAAAAAAAGAAAGAAAAAAGAAACCTATCTTTCCCAAATTCAAATAATAAGCTTCCTGGGCGCTAGTTGTGCTGTGTCTGCAGCCAACGTGTATTGTATTCCAGAGTTGAGTTTCTCTGGGCTCTGTTGGGAAGGGAATGGAGGGGGGATACCCTCTCCCCAGTATTGTATAAATGATGCAGGCAGGAAGTAAGACACGGCAAAAGAGAAGCTTGACTCGGGAGGATGGGATTCAGGTAATTTAAAGGCTGACTAAGAAGGTGGCTTGAGTACTTAATCCTAAGAAGCAAAAGAAATCAGAAAGGGAGCTTTGCTAACGAGCTTTGTCAATGAGACATGTATTGTGCCAAGTCTTGATGGAAAGACTCCCAGCCTCAAGTGTTTATCTCCACGGCCTTACCAATGTGTTACTCTGTACGCCATTTTAAACTTCGAGAGGATGTTCTCAAAACTGTTACAGGTCTCGTAGAAACAGCACAGGGAAACACTATTGTGGATTTGCACCTATGTTTTGGTACATTTTTTCCCTAACCTGCTGACTTTAGGCAGATGCTTCCAGCTCAGGGGCTGTGTGATAAAGAGGCTGCGTGGGCTTTAGGTCAGCATCTTGGGGGTTCTGCCTGCCACCGTGATGTCACCCTGAGGCTTGGGCAGCTCCTACACTCTTCTCCACGCTCACACACTAGTGTAATCAACTTTTGGTGAGCAGTGTTGTGAACATTAAACTCAGGCCTACTTAGAATAGTTTTTCTTATAAGGAGCACTTAGCACTTAGCAAGAAACTTTGAGAGGTAAATATGTTTTTCATGCTTTAAAAAATATGAGCTTTCAGATTCTGTGTGGCCACGTGCAATACAGCAAAGCCACCTTTAAGTGAATTATTTATTTCAGTGTTCAGTAATGAATGTGTGACCAACCTACGAGGACTCTTTGTTCTGCTAATTAAAATGACATTGAAATTAATTTTACAGTTAAGAATTGCAGAAGCTAAGGGAGCATCTTTAAATGGTTTTTTATTGTTGTTGTTTAATGTGATGTTTTTCCTTTAGAGGAAGATGGTTTTCGTGGGAGGTGAGTGTCTTAGCACTTCCCACGTTGGGGAATCACTAAAGCAAAGGTTTGTACAGGATCCATAGACCGTGTGCTTATTCCTTGTGATTCCGATACACTTCTGTCTGATGTTTGGATCTGAGCTGAATTTGAACCTAAATTCAGTAAAATAAATGGAGTGTGACCACATGCTTTTTGTGTTGTGTTGGGTGTACACGTGCGGCGCTCTGCAGGGTTGGGCGCTGTCTCTTGCAGCTCCAGAGTACAGCAGGGTATTGACCCACATTCGCCAACAAAGCGACCAACAGTTCATTAGGTCATCATTTTGAAGTACTTATTAGCTATATTTAAATACAAGGAAAAGACATAGTATTAACCGATTTTTGTGTGTTTACTTGTGTCAGTCAGGGAACATCACAATGGAGCGCCCTTGATTTGGGACACTTACAGTGGCGTAGGCCGTGTCTCTGAAGTGGGCCAACCCAGAGTTACCGGGAACCTTGACTTCTGCCACTCTGTCTACATTCTCCCAAACTCCACAGAGGCTGAGACGCACCCAGGGCCTTCTGACATGACAGATGTCCTGGTCATAATCCCTGACTCACAAGTGATGTCATTCCAACCCCCAGCCTAAAGCAGTTAATACAGCTGCCATTTGGTAAAATTGCAGCACACATTCTCCAGACTTCTTAAATCTGGGTCCACCCAGATTGCAATACTAATTGGTCCCCAAATGTTATTTATAGGTTAATTTCATTCTCAGCTAACACTCATTTGCTATTATAATGACAGCAAATGCTGACTTTATATTATACCATTTTGCAATTACAAGCTTAAGAGTTAATATTAATAACTAGTAGAAAGGTCAAATTAGAAGCTAAGCCTCTTTGGACCATTTTTAGATTATATAAATAGAGGTTTTGGTGGAGGAAGAAAATCGACCTGAATCATGCATACAAATAGAGACAGATGGAAAGAAGGGGGCCAGCTGTGAATTGTAACCGTGGGAATGCTTGGAGATGGGAGGTGGAGAGTGGGTAAGATGGGAAAACACTGGTATGAAGATGGCATGAGAGATGTCGCTGGATTCTGTTAAATAAGAGTGGGCAGAGGAATAGTACAGAGGTGATTCTGATTATAGTACATGCATGTGCAAAATACCACGGTGAAAACCCTTGGTACAATTACCATTCACTAAAAAAGCCAGTGACCAAAGCAAAACAGGCAATTGGGTGGACGTCAGCTGAGGGAGGGAGGGAGGGTAAACTGGAAGGGTGGACAGGATGAATTTGGGGAAGTAATGGAGTGAGGTTGGTGAGGGTTCTTCGTATGCTTGTATGGAAACGTCACAATGAACCCCACACACACAGTGTGTGCTAACAAAAACTTTAATTAAACAGTAAAAATTGCAACCTACAACAAGTTGGAAAACTGAGGGACAGACAAAAGATGGGAGTATGAAGAGCACAGCAGAAGGCGGGCTGTTCAAACATGTGACCGGACAAATAGACCAACAGAACTGGCTTAAATAATTTTTAAGGGGGTATGATAGAGGACTTTGCACCTGAGGCAAATATGTTCAAATACCCAAGAAAGCCAAAAAGCTATCTAATTTCTGTTCTACTTGGTAGAAGGAAAATATATATCCAAAAGCTAACGGGGTTAATAGAGCAGAATGGTGTGGCTCTGGTTTTGTTTGTTTGAAACGTTCCCATTTTCCCAGTGAGTTTGGAATGCACTTAGTGGATAATTTTGCTGTGTGGGGAGATTTTGTTTTGTTTTTGGTCATAAAATGCTAATGGTTATGGTTTGCACCTTCTGAGAAGGGAGCAGTTCATGTCTCCTCTGTCAGTTAAGAGACCCTTCTTGGAAGAAAAAAGCCATCAAAAGACAAAGGGTGTCCTGCTAATCCCAGCACAATTTGGCAGATTTGGAGACAAAATACCATTAAGAGTCCTAACCAGCCCCGCCATGTCTGGAAGTCTGATGGCCTCCACCTTCTGTCTGCCCTCTACAAAAGAGTTTATTTGTTGATGTGTTTTCATTTGTTTTCAACAAGGTTACTTCTCCTCTCCCACTACAATGCCCTGTCTCTCCATTCACACATCCATTAATGTGCCAGGGTCCTGCTGCAGGGGAAAGCACAGGGTGCCCTGGCCTTTGATCTTTGCCCTTTACCCTTGCTCCTGATTGGCAGGTGAATCACAGCTGGGCTCCAGACTTCACGGCTACTTGAACATTTCTGCCAACAGCCAGAGTCTGGCATGTCAGGAACTGAAATGAGAAGAGCAGGCCATAAGAAGGATTTGTGTCCAGAGAAAGTCTCAAAAGCTTCTTACAGAACATGGTGGCGAAAGGCCCTAGGGACAGGCTCTTGTTTGAACAATAAGTGCAACTAAATGGAAGGAGAGGAGGTTTTCCTCCAGGGCAACCAATCCCCTAATAAACGGCCTGGGTGTCACAGTGTCTAGAGGACCGGGGATTCAGTGGTCCCTTGATGGATGTTATTGGGGACACACGGGTTAGAAAGGTGGGAAAAAGACTGGTTTCTTTGTCTTGGGGTCACCAACCCACTTCTTTGCCCACGTCTTTCTTGGTTTTAGTAGTGTGGCCACCTTGTACTTAATTCCGATCATAAGGCTGGTTGGACAAGAACCTTTCCAGTAAGCTCTGTAATTGTTAGGCAAGGAAGAGCTGCCCTCAAATGCCCTGAGGCCGATGCAGCTGCACCCTCCCACTCTGCCCCTTCTGACCACCGCTCCCAATTTCTCCTCTCTCGGGCTCCAGCCCAACTAGCCTCCTGACTATAAGAATCCATCCCAGCCACCCCAGGGGACCATGCGGAGGCCGGCACAAGAGAAAGATGACAAGGTTTATTAGCGGGGCCATGTCTCCCCAGGAAGAGGGAGCAGTAGGGTCTGCCCCATCCAGGTGGTAGCTCTAGGGCTGGATGGTGAGGTCAGGGAGGAAAGTGGGAGTGGCCAGCTCCCCTGGTGGGAACTGTAGGGGAGGGGGGAGCTCAGGTCTGGGTGGAGGAGGAGCTACTTGCTTCCACAGAAAGTCAGTGGGAGTGGCTGAGGACGTGAGGTGGACAGAATACCAAATCTGACTCTCAGTTAC